GGTTGCTGAGATTAACATCTGGAAAGACTTTGGAAATCTGCTGTCCCTTGAGTAGGGGACATGATTCCCAAGCCCCCTGGAAGCTACCCACGGGAGGAAGAGGGCCCTGGGAACGTGCGGCTCTTGCCAGGTCATTAAAAGCTTTAGGTCATGGCCGGGCTGCCTATGGATTTCAGAGGGATGTAGCTAATTCTAATGTTTTAAAATAGACTTTAAATTAACTTTTTATATATTTTTTGTGTGTGCATATATATGTATATACACACACGTAACAACTTTAAAATATACTTACAAATCACAGACAACCCTGTAAGTATATTTTATCTTGTGGCTAGCTGAGGGTGGTGGCTAAATAAAGCCCAAATCTGCAGTGAAGCTTTTGGAAAGCAGGTATAGACTTTTGATGCCTAATCAGAAGTGGATTCATGGTATGGTTTAGCCCAGACATTGTGTGGGTAGTTTGCTTTTTTCTCTGCTACCAAGAGTCCATTTTTGTGAAAACTATGGGAGACTGATGGCTGAAGCTCACCTTCTGTAATGTTGATTGAAATCAGCCATGGGGCTCAGGGCTCCTAGTGTGGCTGGGCAGAGACAGTAACATGATGATATATTTCCTTGGGGTATCTAAGCTGAATGTATGCGTATCGCTGCTGTCACCAGGAAAGAGCTCAGAGCCCTTTGTTAGGGGCAGGACGTGGACAGTGACTGTGGTTGTGGAAGGCAGAGCATGAAGGAACTCATCGTTTTGCAGCCTAAGCTATGGGCAAACACGTAGTTCTTTGGCTTCCACGTCTAAGTTTTGTCTCTGCTGTAAGGAAGGCCTCAATTTTTTAGATACTTTAGTGCTTTTGACTCCGAGTGCTTGACCCAGTCAAATGTCACTGTAGAAAAAAATCTTGCTGGTAATGCAGAACCGTGCTGCATATGCAGGATCTGGGCCCAAAACTAGGCTTTGCTGTACAAACAACTGTTTATATAAAGGGGGGGGGTGGAAACTCACCTGCAATTGAAGAGGCCTGAAACCAACTTCTTTTTGACACTGCAATTGAGTCCCTAGGGTGCTAAGAGAAAGCAGTGGTGTCAGTTAACTGCGTGTGGAAACAATTAGACCATTCAGCGACCACAAGAAAGGGGAAAAGAGATGCAGAAGCGTGCTTTAGTGGGAGAGATGAAATGGGGTGATATGGAGCAGTGCCAACTCCTTGGGTGCCCGGGGCAGGGAAAGCGCAGTGGGAAGGGGCCTGGGACAGGGCAGAAGGAGCAGCATCCATGAGACTTAGGAATGGGCTCTGGAGGGAGCTGCAATGGTGCTGGTTTGTGTCTGATGCCTCTGTAGCAAAGCTCCTGCATGCCTGGATTTGACCCATGAATGAATCCTGTGAATTTACTTTTTCCTCTCTGGTTTTCTTCTGTCTTTCTTTTCCAGTGGAAACAATCAGAAAATACTGTTGGCACCAAAAAGAAGCACTAGTTTTTTGCTGGCCTGTTTTGCACGTGGTGCTGGGCATTGAATTAATGGCCCTGGCCTCTTACACTGAGCTCTTATAACACATCTGTCATCACACTATCTGGGTAACAGCAGATGATAGTAGGGCAGTGATATGGTTTGAGTTGTTTGCATTATTTACCTCTTTGTTTGTATTATTTACATTCATCACTAATTATACTAGAGCTCAGAGGCGGGCTGGGAAGGGGAGATGTGATGCTGCTGACAGCGGGCTTTGGGTGTGCACCAAGAGCTGAGGCTTTCACCTTGGATGCAGCTGGGCACCACCCCAACCTGCTGCCAGGGTGAAACAGGGGGTGCTACCACCCTGTCAGTGTGTTTGGAGGTGAAGGCTGCAGGGATACAGTTTTCATCAAGACCAGAATTTAGTCCTTCCCATGCAATGAAGATACCCAGACAGGCCCCCCACCCCTGTGTTGGCTGGGGATGATTGAGGTGATGAACTGCGTACCTGTGGGTTGCAGAGGAAACGGTGGGGTTTTTGTTATTATCACAAGAGAAAATGCAGGCAATAAAGGATTATTGGGGTCCTGTCCCTCAATAATCACAACTTGATGGTGTTAGGTGACTTTGTCCCACTGCCCTGGTAAATCAGATAGGGCTGGGGCAACACGGAAGTGTGACTGACCCATTTTCATCCTAAATTGAGAGGTTTTTTCACAACCACTGCTTTTTAAGTTATTTTTTTGTAGAACCTCAGGTGTGTATGAGCACATGGCTGCCCAGCTGTCAGCTTTGTGTCCTGCCTGTAGCCCCTTGCCCAGGCTGCTTTGACATTCAGGGAGTAGCGATGGCTCAAGGATATACAGCCCTGCTCAGCGACCACGTGTGGGGGTTTGCACAGCCCTGTTCTCTCTAGAATGGGCTGCACTGGTCCGTGTTGGTGAGCTTGGCTCCGCTTAAACCCTGTGTGCCCTGATGCGTGGCCGCCGACCACTCCAGCTGCTCTCAGCAGACTCTGGCTCCACTCCAGGGGTGCTCTGTGGCTCTGCCCTGGCACGAAACCTCAGCCAGGGACTGAATTGCAGCATGACAGGGACATGGCAGTGCCCACTCGCCCCTGCGTTGGTTGGGCAGCTGCGGGCAGCAGTGTTGGTGCCCTCCATTAAGCCAGGCGGGGTTGGTAGGTTTGGTCACACTACATAGCTGAGACCAGTGTGAGGAGCTGGTGTCAAACCTTGTGCTGAGGGCAGGCACATGTGTCCCCAAGAAGTGGCACCCCAGGCTCTGCTCCGTGAAGACCCACTGTTCCGTGTGGCTTTTCCCATGCAGGTGTCCCTGGTGCTGCTTGGGGGGACGAAGGAGGTCGAGGACTTGCTGGAGGGCAGTGGCTGCTCCAACCTGGCCCCCGAGGAGCAGCTGAGCCCCTTTAAACCTGTGAGACTTTTCCAGAGTTCCTCTTCCAGCAGCACTCTCAGCTGCAGTCTGCTGTGTGTGAGGTTGTCCCATCCCAGGAGGTCTCCAATGTCACCCCGATCGTGTGTCAGTCTTGCTCACTGACAGGGATTGAGCACTGACCTCACCAGCTCTCGGTGGGGAGGGATGTGGGGGCAATATGGGGGTGTCCAAAACTTCATTTTGTGTGAGGAAGACTCATCACCATTTTGCAGAGAGATAATTGGGAACACAGTGAGGAACATGCCCAGATACCTGGGCATCTCCAGCGATGGTCCTTGGCTTCCTGCTTATGCCTGGACCCTTAACTCGCACTGCCCACCTTATTTTTCCTCATGGAGCTTCGAGCTCTGGCTCACTGCTCCCCATGGCTGGCCACAGCCCACAGGTGCTCTGCTCTATCTGAACCCTTACTTTTTTTGGTAGGAGAGACCCAGTGTTTGCAGGGAGCCCAAAATCCTGTGTGCTGTGGGGTGGGCAGGGTCTGTCGGGGGGGTGGCTCACCCCAGGGCAGCAGCTGCTGCTTGCTCGGGGACTTCTTGTCTTTCCTGGCCCCCAGTGCTGTAAGTTAATACCCCACAGGCGGGTCCAAAGAGGATTTCAACGAAACCTGAAGCTTGGGAGTAAAGATTATGCTGCAGAAGTAGCCTGGAATACTGTAAAATATGCACTCCCGCTATCGCCAAAGAAGGATCTGGATTTGCTCCCTGGGGAGCGGGGTCATCCCTGGCCTCAGGAATGGTGTCTGAGGAGAAAGATGACTGCCTTGAAGATAGACCACCCCCTTCTGTCTCATCCTGGCCCTGCTGAGCGTCCCTGGGAACCTGGGAGTGCTTGTTCTCCCCAAATTTGCTGCCTCCTGGCAGGCCACTGCTTAATGAAAACCAGGTTTAGGACAGATGTCTGTGAAAATGCCCCTAGCATGATAGGCCCTTCACTTGCGTGAAGCAGCACCTGGGAGAGTGAAGGAATGGAGTGGACTTGCCAAGGGCGTTGGTGCTCCCCCAGCCCCCTCTGCCTGCACCCTGGAGTGGAGGCTGCTGGCGGCCTCTGCCCTGCGGGGTGCTGGGCTGGGGCAAGGTGTGCAGGTCCTGTAATGCCAGGAGCAGAGCTGGGTGCTGCTCTTGTTTTGGGTGGTTTGCCAGTTTCAGAGTGAGGAGAGCCAGGCTGGGGAGGTATCCCATCCCATCCCATCCCATCATCAGAGCTGTGGTCTCCAGTTCACACTTCAGGAACCTGCAGAGGTGCAGACCTGGAAGGGATCTGGAGAGGAGCAATGTGCTTTTTCCAGTCCTTCAGGATGTTGCTGACAAGGTTCTTCTGGGTCTTAACAAAGTCCTGTACCCAAGGTGCAGCCCTGCCATGGTGAACACTATGTTCTCTGTGTCCTCCATCATAAGGCACCATTTGCCATCTTGAGCTGGGTCTGGAGGAGTGTGGTGGGGCAGAGCTAGGGGAGCCCCACACAGAGCTGCTGCACTCCTCTCATTTTTGCATGTTTTCCTTTGTGCAGTGTAACACAGACCTTGGTTGTGGTACCAGGGACAAGGTGTGTGTCAGGGCCAAGCTGATGTGGCTGCAGGTACCAGGGCAGCCCATGCAATGGCCATGTGCCTGTCTTGGGGGTCCAGAGCCGGTCCTGGCAGCCTGTGAATGACAAACTGCAGAACAGGCTGATAGGGGCTGTCACTGAGCCAAGGAGAGCTGTGCCACCACAGCTCGCATGTCTGCTGGGGCTGCTGTAGCCCTCAGCACAACCCAAACTCTAGCTCCGAGGGGCTGCCTCCTGCTTCTTGTTCTGGATGCAAATCCAGACCCTATCTGTTAAGTGGCTTTCACCTTGCACCAGTGTCCCCTGGTGCCCCAGCCCCTTTCTGATGAGCTGTCACCTCCAAGCAGTGGCTTTCAGGTTTGTGTCCTCTGCCCACTGCTGCTTTTGCATTTGAGTAAGCACTGGTGGGGCTGGGGTTCCTCTCTCGGAGGGAAGGTGGGTATGGCCACTTCAGGGCAGCGTTGACCTGCAATTCCCCTGCCTTTGCTGTCTCACCCAGCAGTGAGCTGCTTCTTCACCCCGTCCCTCTTCTATTCCACAGGCACGTACCAGGGCCAGTTCACCAACGGCATGCGGCACGGCTACGGCGTGCGGCAGAGTGTGCCCTACGGCATGGCCTCCGTGGTCCGCTCCCCACTGCGCACCTCCCTCTCCTCCCTGCGGAGCGAGCACAGCAATGGCACCCTGCCGCAGCAGGACTCCCCCGCCGCCAACCCCGAGAGCCTGCCTCTCTCGCCCACCATCACCCGTGGGGGCTTCGCCCTCAGTCTCTACGCAGAGGCGGAGGCCGGGAAGCCCAAGAAGGGGGGGCTCTTCCGCAGGGGCTCTTTGCTGGGGAAGCTGAAGAAGTCCGAGTCCAAGTCATCCCTGGCCAGCCAGAAGAGCCGCGTCAGCTTCCTCAAGAGCGAGAGCGGGATCAGTTCGGCCGCCAGTGATGCCACCTCCACTGTCAGCCTGGGCGAGGGTGCCGAGGGTGAAGAGTTCCCCCCGTTTGAGTCTGACATCGATGCCACCACCACGGAGACCTACATGGGTGAGTGGAAGAACGACAAGCGCGCTGGCTTTGGCATCAGTGAGCGCTCCAGCGGGCTGAAGTATGAGGGTGAGTGGCTGGACAATTTTTTTACCACGCTGCCCGACGGCAAGAAGGAGGAGGGCAAGTACCGCCACAATGTCCTTGTCAAGGGCATGAAGAAGCGCGTGATACCCCTCAAGAGTGCCAAGATCCGGCAGAAGGTGGACAGGAGTGTGGAGGGAGCTCAGAGGGCTGCAGCCATTGCCCGGCAGAAGTCGGAGATCGCAGCATCCAGGTAAGCACCCAGGGCTCCAACACACAGGTCTCGATGAAGATGGTCCTTATCCCACAGGTGGTGGGGTCAAATGTGGCTCCTCACAATTTCTGTTTAATCCTTTTTACAAAATGCTGGCAAAGCGAGCACAAGGGCCTGCACAGCGGCTCAGGGCTGTTCAGGACCTGTCTTCCTTCTCGCCCTCTCTCCTGTCCACCTGTGGACCTGGTCCAGCCAGTGACCAGCACAGATGCTCGTGGAATGGTGAGCACCCAGGTGCTATACCAGGCTGCCAAAGTCGCTGCGTGTCATTGATGGGACAGGATGACAAATAGTGGGGTTTGGCTGTGGTAAATCCAGCAGACTCAGCAGCAGCCAGCAGGACGTGTCCCAGACAAATTGGGTCTGCAGCAGAGAATGGCTCAGTCCCAGAGGAGACCCCAGTGTGGCTTTGTGGAGAGTTTATGGGCTGCATTGGGGTTGTTGCTTAATTTTAGTGGCTTGGTGTAATGAGCTCACTGGGAGAAGCACTGCTCTGCTGTGATGCCGTGGACTGGGAGGCAGGATGTACAGCAGGTACTAAACTGAGGAGGGGGCTGCCTTCCCCATCTGTCCCCGAGAGCCAGCTGCCCTCGGCCAGGTTTTGCATCAATGTTTCTGCCATGAGGAAGGCAGCAGCTAGAGCCAGGGTAGGCGACTGAGCCCACGCTGGATTGCTGAGCCAGATCCCATGGTACTTAGCCTGACCCCACAGCCCATGATGCTTGAGGATGCTGGGAAAGGAGGACATGGGGAGGGCTCAGCCAGGTTTGTTCCCTTTTGTCCCCACAGTTTGCCCTGGCCAGAACCCAGGGGTGGTAGCGAGTGAGTGGCAGTGTGCCCGGCGTTGCGTGCCACAGGAGCACGTGGCAGTGTCTTGTTGCATCAGTGTCCCTTGTGCCAGCAGATGCGTGGGCATGGCCGGGCACTGTGCTGCCCCAACACCACCTGGTATGTTGGGACCAGAGAGGTGAGCTCAGCTTAGAATTATCTGAGTTAGAAATTAGCAGGAGAAGAAAGTGCTAATTGCTGCGTTGTCACTCTCAGGGTGGAGGAAAGGAGAAAAAAGAGGGGCTCTGGGGTCTGCCTGGGAAAGGCAGGGGAAAACCTGCTCACGTCCCTGCCGGCATCCCAGCAGTGCTGGCAGCATGGTTCTCCTCCTGCAGCGATCCTGACGGTCTCTGAGCCAGCCTGACAGAGACTGGAGATCGTTAGACAGGGTCAGAGCCTTCACTCCTCTCCTCTTCCTCTGGGAAACGTGGTTGTGACAGCCCTCGAGGTTCTACCTTGCCTCTCCATTGAAATCTTGCCCCACACAGGCTTTGCTCAGTGGCTGGGCAGTGGCTGGGACTCCAGGGCTGTCCTGCCTTGCTCCTTTTTAGTGCTGTTTAATTATCAGTCATTTCATTATAAAGCAGATATGGGAGGAGGGAGCCTGTTCCCAAACCCCATCCCTCCCCTCCGAGAAACCCCGGCTGTACTCTCCCAGCGGCTGTTTCTGCTCCAAAGTTTTGTGGGGAGTGTGATTGTTTTTTTAGTAAAATGTAGTTGCCTCGGAGACCAGCAGAGAAAAACCATTGGGATTGCAAGTGAAATGCTGTGCAGGGCCAGTGAGGATAAAAATAACAGGCTGGGATGGTGTGGAGCCTGCCAGAGCCTCCTGGCACAGCAGGCTCAGCTCAACACCAGCTTCACCATGCCTGGGGAAAGCGTGCTGCTGTGACACTGGGTGCCTGTAAATAAGGAGGCTGGAGCTGTGAAAGCTGCTCCCCAAGAGCTTGGCTGGTTTACACAAACCTCTTTTTATTATACACTATTTACACTTTGGATCAAAAGCGGCTCTGCAGTGTTTTCCATCAGGGGCTGGAATGTGCCCGCTGCCCTGGCCAGGGACTGCATCCCTCCCCAGTGTGGCTGGAGAATAATTTCCTATTAAGGAAACCTCGGAGATGGAGGAAATAAAAGCTGGGTCCTCCAGGGAGTCCTCCCCTCACAGACCCTGCAATGGTGCGGCTGTTGTGGCAGGGGTAGAGGATGCAGCTCTCCCGGCAGTGCCGTGCCTCAGGTCCCATTCCTGCGATGCTGCCTGCAGCTGAGCTGGAGCCGCTCCAAGGAGGGAAATTCAGGCTCCTCCATCCTGTGAACTGTAACTCACCATTTCCATCAGTGTTTATTCCTGAGACATTCTCTCTACTTGCTGCCTTTTGAAAATCCAACCCGTGCTCTCCTTTTTCTTCCTTTCAGCTCAGCTTTAGGGCTAGAAGTAATTATAGATAATTTTTTAGAGGCTCCTTAAGTTAAATCTCAGCTCTGCCACAGACTTTCTATTTGGCCTTGAACCTTGCCTCAGTTTCCACGTGCAGGACAGAGAGTAATTGTTGGCAGATTGTGAAAAACAATTATTGTTTTTCATTAGCATCACCCTGGCTTGTAACTATGAGGTGACGTATTCTAGATGGAGCATTTGTATTGCTCCTCGGATGGCGGTGTGTGCCTTACCAAAATAAATGTCTTTGAGGCTACATGAATGTAGCCCTTTTTTTAGGGGAAGATGTGGCCCATCTGTATATGAGATTATTCCTAGGAACTAATTAGCAGGACACAGCAGCCAGGCTGTGCAGATGCCTGATGAACTCTGTGCACCTGTGCTGTTGCATACAGATGTTTGAGTTTCATTTGCTTCTGGCATTTGGGGGAGCCCCTTGCAGAGATAAATGACCTTCACATCCAGCCTGCTGCTGCCTGGTGGTGAAACGTCTGGAGGAGACCAGATTTCACTCTTCTGCACCATAAAAGGCTCTTTAAGGCACAGAAATCTTGAGGAAAACAAGCTGAAGCACTGGAAGCTGCCTCGGCCAGTTGCACTGCAGGAATCCCAGGCATGTGCCTGAGCTCTGGGGTGCGTGGGCAGAGCTGATGGGTGCCCTCCCTGCCTGTGAACTGCCCTGCGGAGGTGGACAGGAGAGCAGTGACATTCAGGGATGATGCTCAGCCGTGGTCAGCAAACCTTCCTCATCCCACACTCTGCTGCAAGGGTGTCTGAGGGCTTGGGCTGCTTTGCAGCTCCTGTCCTGTCTGCTCAGTTTGGCTGTTCCGGCCTGTGCTGCAGGCAGTGCCAGCCATTGCCTGCCCCGCTGCCTGTCCTGTCCAAGTGGCACTGCCCTGGCCTCCTCAGCTCCCTCCCGAATCTTCCCAGGTCAGCAATCCAGCTGCTTTCCCTGTTGTGCAAGAGGCTGAGGACAGAGCTGGCATCACCTCACCACTGGCTGAGGGAACAGCTATTCTTTTTTTATTTTTTTTTTGTTATTTTAGTGAAAATTACTTGACACGGGGTCAGGCTGTCCTGAACAGCCCATCCCAGCTCAGCTAGCTGCTCCCTCACCCCAGGCAAAGCCCCTTGGTACTGCTCAGACATTGGGCATAAACACCAGGCAGGTCTGTCGGCAGTGTCGAGTGTAACTACTGCATATCCCACCTCCATCCCGCTGCAGTGACATCTGCCATGGTTTGCCTCTGCACAGGGTTGTGCTTCCCAGTGACTTGGACCAAAATCAAGGGAGGGACTTGGCCGTGCATCCTGCAAGGCACGGGTCTGGCCATGCTCTGAGATCGTTTGATGGGTGTGTCCCCTGTTAATGACAGCTCAGATCTATCTGCCAGATGTCATGGGATCAATAGGAAAGCAAGGTGTAAGAAGCAAGAATGGTTGCTGCGCGTCACCTGTTTGCTTCTGACCCTGAAGCCTCTGTGTAGTTTGGTGTTTTAAGCCTGGAGGGTACAACTGAAAATGAATACACTTTGAATTTATTTTTGGTTTTAATGTAATATCAATAGAGATCCTGCAATAGTTCTGCCTGGATAGATATCTGTAAGAATTTCTTAACTGCGTTCTGAAACGTTAGGCATTAATTTCTGTTAATGTAGTGTTTACTCATCAGAGTGAGCCTGGGCTGTGTTAAAGTACCGCAGAGCTGCGGTGAGCACTTGGCATTGGAAATTGCATCGGTGTGGCTTCTCGGGCAATGACACGTGGGCATCATTCATAGTGTGAGCTGTTGCCTGCTTTTGAAGCTTAAGTTGTTTTTCTGTCCATACCCGTGTCTTTGGAGCACATCTTCACTCTTCCTTCAAATAACAAGAGTGCTTAACGGTTCCCGTATCACTTTCCGAACCTCCCCTGCCCGGCTGCATTCCCGGCAGTGCCGTCTTCCTGTGCTCAGCATTTCCAGGCTGTGTGGCCAGGCAGCAGCGAGTGTCTCCTCGGGGAACGCGCCTGTGTGGTGCAAATGACATCCTAAAATCCCTGGAGTCAGCAGAGCCTCCTGACTAAATAAGGGCAGGCAGAGCAGGGCTTTATCAGCGCTGCCCGAGCACGACAGCTGAGAGCCAAGGCCCGTGGCAGCCCACGTTGCTGGAGCTCGACCATGTGCTTACGCTGATAAGGTGCTTTATTTGGCATGACTCTGCTCTGGTGAGCTCCTGCCCTCATCCCCGGCGCTCTTAGGGGTTGGAAGTTGGGCAACCAAAGTGATGTCTTCCCAATGCACCTCTTTGGCGAGGCACAGCATTTCACCACTTCTGCAGGAGGGAGCCAGCACACACGTGGGCAGGGAGAAATGAGGGCAGTCGTGGCTCTTGCTGTAGCTGGATGCCAGGACACAGTGGTGAGGGGATGCTCCTTAGTCCTGCTCTCCCAGCAAAGACGTTTCTCACAGAGCTCAGTGTGTTTATAAAGAGGATAATGTTGTTTAATTCACTCTTGGTTAATAGAAACCCAGTCACTGGCATCTATTTCCACACCAACCGAAGCCCAGGGCTGTGACTCTCCTGCTTTCTGTGCAGCACTGGTGCCAGCAGCACTCACTCCTTCTGATGAAACCAGGCAAATAAAGACCTTTTCCCTTTGCAGCTCTCGAGCAGGCGTGACCTCCTCTGCATGGCTTGTGAGCACAAACTGAGATCAGTGTCCAGGATAACCCTCT